CGACCCGGCTTTCCATATTGGCCTCGCATAAATCCGATCATGCATCTCCGATTCCGATCTCAACGGCCGGCCGCCATTAGTTACCAACAGACTTACAATGTTCCCCCTTGGAACGGTGCTTTACTGCGTCGTCGATCGTCGTCGTCGATTTCCTCGGATTATATACTCCCGCCGCAAATATCATCCTCCCTCCCTCCTCCTCCCCCCATCCTTTCCTCCTTTTTCTTTCGCCACTCTTCCGCTTCCTGCCCGTGGAGTATTTCCACGGACTCTCGTCGCCGTCCCTTCAGCCTTCCATCTTTTTCCTTGTCACCTTCCCTTCCCTTCCCTTCCCTTCCTTGGAACGCCGCTTATTTTCTATTCCGCGCGTTCTCTCCTTCTCTCGCGGAATTAATATTATACTTTGTCTTCTTGCATCTCTCTCATCGGTATATACGTCGGTTACACGCTCAGAAAAATTTTAATCGATTTTTACATCGATTCTTTCTACGATTCACGGATCATCCACGCGCGAAATTATACACGCTATGATAATCGATAGTCGATTAAAATTTCCTTCCATGCAAAACGAGAGGGAAAAGAAAGAGAGATTTTCGTCGCCGGGGAAAAATATTCAATCGTTGAGCTTCGAAGCCATTTACTCGCTCCGAGTCCCCCTTTTTTCCTCTCTCTTTCTCTCTCTCTCCTCGACACGCTCGCCCCTACTTAACGCTTATTCCACAACAACCCCCCGGTCGACGACTCATCCCGTATCATCCCCTTATTCCACGCGTCTCTAACCCTCCGAAAATCCTGACCAATGGCGCTTCGTCCAAAAGGGGATACCATTGTCGATCCGACCAATCGTCGCGTCACTCGTATCACGCACATGCAAGAATCGACGCGTTTACACGCGCTATTCTTTCTTTTCTCTCTCTCTCTCTCTCTCTCTCTTGCTCTCTTTTTTTTTTTTATCTCTCCGGTTGGCTCGTCTCGTCCTTCTTTGTCGACGAGGATAGTCTCTTTATAATGCATATCAATTTGCGCCTAATGGGTGACACCGTTCCAACGGGTCGCATCTGCGGATTAATAGGAACGTTACTTATATACCAGACGGTTTTTAACGCATGCCCGTCCGCCCGCGCGCACGCGATCATTGTACGATGGATAATACGAAAGGTTAGATCGTACCGGCAACCGATGGTAAACTTTTTTCACCATTTTCTTATGATAATTGGATAATTAATCAAGGTGAGAAGAAAATCAAAGGAACATTAAAAAAAGTTTCATTGAAAAAGTATTTTATTACGAAATAATTTATAATCTGTGGAGGATTGATTAATTAAGAATCGTATCTTTTTAGTAATTAAACGTTCACTTTAACGACACTTTTTATTTCCATTAAAATTCATAATTTTAAAAATTGAGTCGAGAATTGTATCTAATTTCACTTCGATAAGAACACTCTCAGGGGGGGAGAGTACATCTTGGATCGTCGAGCGTAAAAACAGAGAGAAAATCTTTGGGATAACTTGTTCACCGTTGTTAAAGTTCCGAACAAACTTCTGGCCCCTGGATACTTTGTCCAAGCTTCTTCGGAGAATGTTTCGGAAACTTTTTCATCGCATCATCATCCATTAATTTTCCTCCGAGCATCGGTCAGAATTCACTACGAAATACTCTTTTTCTCATCCCTCTCCTCGATATTTCAATGATACTTTTTATCACTATACTCACTTTTTTTTTTAACGCAATTTGATCGCAATTACTCGACCCGGCTCCTCTCGTTCGGATTGTTGCGCAACATCGTTGAATAAACGCGAGGCAAAATATTTGTCCGAGCTTGTTTTCACGATAAACAAAAAAAAAAAAAAAAGAAAGAAAGAAAAAAGAAAAAAAACAAAGAATTCCAGCGTCGAACTCGCTTTTGTACCGGTCGCGGCGGAGAACGATGAAAGAAGGGCGGAGGGCGAGGGCAATAAAGGGGCATCGTGAGCGTACACGCGCGTGAAACGGGGAACGCCTGGAAACAAAGCGGGAAGCCGTGCGTGCGAGCGTTTTTTGAAAATGCCAATTTATTTCGAAAAGAAGGGGGGTCGGAAGAGGGCCACCGAACGACGCGCCAACTAAATGAATTTTAATTGATTTCTCTCCTCGCACAGCCGGGACCCTAATCTTCGAGGCCTCGACGGCCGGCTCGATGATGCAACAACGTCGCGCCTGTATATCGAAATTTCGATCGAATCTCCTCCCCCTCCCTAGTCGATTCAACATGAAAATAAATTCCAAATATTCCTTTTTTAACTCTTTTTCAATCGAGAGTATATATATTTCAGAGATATCTCACGATTTCAATTTGGCAATTAATATCACACGTTTTCGAGTTCAGGTAAAAGAATTGTTTGGAATTTGGAAACTTTCTATGGAGGAAAGAAACTCGATGGAATACGAATCGAGTAGAATTGGCGGATGACGAGAGATGATGGATCGATGGATTTCGCGCGAATGACGAAAGATCGATATGCAGGAGATTCGGTCCGCGTTGGACGGACAACTAGCGTTCGAGTTGCAAGATTCGAAATGTAGGTATGCGTTGCACGGCGCATAGGAGCTCGTTGAACGATGCAGGCGTGAAATTCGTGCGAACGGAAATACCGTGGTAACGTTAGCACGGTTGAAATATGCGATCAGAAGCGATACAATATTGCGTTCCCCCTCCCCGAGACCCTTAATTGAATTCTCCCTTGCGGCGTTCGCGGTGATCGTTAAAGAACCCGCAACAGGGTTCATTGTACGAAAACTCGTGAACTTTGGTACTTTGCACTTTATATTACATTACGTGTATATATATATAAAGAGAAAATTTCAAAAATTCCTTCTCCCAATCTCTCCACCTTAATCCTCGAGAAGCTTGAGAAAGCAGATTATTGCGATTTCAAGATTTTTTTCAAGACATGGGTATAGTGGAAATTTCATTTTTACCAATCGGTTTGAAAAATTCTCGTCGTTGTCTCGATGAAACGACGAAATCGCAAAGGGTTGAAAACAAACACGCGACACGATGAAACGTCCCCTCGCGATAGTAACCATGGAAAATCCCCATAGCTGTATCGAAACAAGTTGTATAATCAATTAACGACGACAGCCCAGCGACAGATGTAGCCGCTAATGGATTCACTCCGTCCCCGTGATTTCACGAGGTGGGATTCGTTCGCGAGACGAGTATATTCTCTCCCTCGAGGAGATAGGGATAAAATTGAAGAAGAAGGAAAAAAGAAAGAAAGGAAGGAAAGAACAGTACTACGGCAAGCAGACACGGTGTTTCGTGGTAACGGCGGACGATTGGACAATAAAACTACAAGGTGAAATTAGTAGTGACTGTCCAGAAAGGAATCTCGTAACAGCAGCCGGTCCCCGTGAGAGAGAAAGATCCGTGTGACTCGGTGGACGCCTGGCGTCTGTCCGTCGGGCCCCGATAGCCAATGGGACGACTCGTGTCACGACCGTTTCACGTGTGTGCGTATACCGTGTAAATACATTGTCGAGGAACGCTCGGGCATAAAACGGCACAATATATGGCCCGGTAATTTCTTAATTGCGCCCCGAAAAATTCTTGTCATCGTAAACAGCCGGTTGATTACATTGAAACGAGTGGAGGCGCCGGGGGCGTTTTCGTTTCGGATGTAACGAAGGCCGGGCCAAAAGAGTGGACAGAGTGGAGAGGTTGGGGGAAGGGCGATAGTTACGGCCCTGGCCGCTTATTTATGCGTCTCTAGCGGTTCCCAATCCTTTCGTCGTTGGAGCAACAATTTCCCTTTATTCCGCTATTCCTTTCCTTATATTCCTTTCCTTACATTCCTCCCCGGGCATCGCGAGAGAATTGGATCGATCTCCTTTCAACTTATTTACGGCAGATAATACTTTTCTTCTCGAAGAAAAGGAAACTTTTCGAAGAGAAACTCTAGAAAACCGCGTTCCTTTGCCGAACACGATTTGAGAACGAATCGAAGCGAACGCGTGACACTATGGTAAACTGTTAGGAAGAAGAACGAAGCAAGATACACTCACCGGTGTGCGTCCTCTTGTGAATTTTCAAGTTCTCCGATCTCGCGAAGACTTTCCCGCAGCCAGGGAACGGGCAGGGGAAGGGTTTCTCGCCGGTATGCACCCTTATGTGATGGACGAGCTTGTGCTTGGCCTTGAAGGCCCTGCCGTTACGGGAGCATCCCTGCCAGAAACACGCGTGCGTGGTGCACTCGGGACCGCCCACGTGCTCCACGGTGAGGTGCGTCACGATATCGTGGAGGGAGTTGAAGAGTTTGCCGCAAAGCTTCCTTCCGGGACCGGGCGCGTCCTGATCGACCCACATGCAGGACATCTCTTGCCTCTGGCCGCCGCCNTCGTTCGCAGAATCGTATACCACTGGAATCATACGCACAAACAAAAGCGCACAAGTAGTCCATCCGCAACTTCACTCTGCAGTTCTTCGAATTTCCCGTTTCTCGTTTCCCGCGACGTCCATCTGTGCTTTCTTTCCCTTTTCTTTCCTCTTCGATCTCACTTCGGATAGATTCACCAAGCAACAATCGCTCGGAACGGTGAAGCGAAGAATTCGATTTTCGAAATTTTCGAGATAATTTTTCCGATATCGCGTTCTTTTCGAATCCCGTTTGAACGACACTCAACAACTTGAACAACCGCAACACCGTGTTTGCGACCACGTCTGTCCGCGTCGAACCGCTTTCATCGACCACGACGATATCGACGATTCTCGTGCATGTTTGAAGAAAAAGAAGACGACGGCGACGACGACGACGACGACAACGACGACGACGACGACGTGCACGGAGACGGTGACGAACATAGAGGGTGAAACATCCGTAGCGTTCCTTGCTGCGTTCACAGCGGGACTGAGAGTCGGCACTGGGCTCCCGCCGAGGAGCAACTCGGCCGATTTCGGCGCTTACGAGCCTGCCCTCTCTCTTTCTCCCGTCCATCCCTTCCTCTCTTTCGCTCTCCTCGCTCGCCAGCCACCCTCCTCTTCTCCCACCCCACCTCCCCTCCTCCCGTTTCTCTCTTCCCCTCTC